CGAATTTTTTGTTTTTTTTGTAACCCATGATAGAATTTTTTGAATCCATGATCGAATTTTTTGTAATCCATGATCGAAATGTTTTTTTTTTTCTTGTAATCCAAGATTGAATTTTTTTGTTTTTTTTTTGTAACCCATGATAGAATTTTTTGTAATCCATGATCGAATGTTTTGTAATCCATGTTCGAATTGTTTTTTTCTTTTTTTGTAATCCACAATCGAATTTTTTGTTTTTTTTTGTTTGTTTTTTTTTGTAATCCATGATCGAATTTTATGTAATCCATGATCGAATTTTATGTAATCCATGATCGAATTTTTTGTAATCCATGATAGAATTTTTGTAATCCATGATCGAATTTTTGTAATCCATGATCAAAATGTTTGTTTTTTTTCTTGTAATCCATGATCGAATTTTTTGTTTTTTTTTTTTTGTAATCCATGATTGAATTTTTGTAATCCATGATCGAATTGTTTTTTCTTTTTTGTAATCCACGATGGAATTTTTTGTTTTTTTATGTTTTTTTTTTTTTTTTTGTAATCCATGATCGAATTTTTTGTAATCCATGATCAAATTTTTTGTAATCCATGATCGAATTTTTTGTAATCCATGATTGAATTTTTTGAAAATTTGTGATTTTTTTTTTTTAATTCATGATCGAATTTTTTTTTGTAATCCATGATAGAATTTATTGAAAATTTGTGATTTTTTTTTTTAATCCATGATCGATTTTTTTTTGTAATCCATGATAGAATTTTTTGAAAATTTGTGATTTTTTTTTTTTAATCCATGATCGATTTTTTTGAAAATTTGTTAATTTTTTTTTTAATCCATATTATTCAAAGAGAAAATGAGAGAAATGATGATTCTGAGGCCACCCTATCCCAGCCATATTATTCACATATCGAGTCCCAACAGCAACAGTGTAGGGATGAGCACGACATTGCAAGTAAGCATGAAGGATGGACAAGCTTCGGGGATTTTGGATTGGGAACACAACAAAACACTAACACTCAGGGATTTGGGAATAGTCAGACGCCTGCTAATATCGATGATTCGTTTTTAGATCGAATAAATGAATTGTTAAACGAATTCAATCAATGGCACCAGCGTGACCAAGAAAACAATAACGTCGTCTATCATTTTATTTTTAGATCATATGTTACTAATTTTATGCTTTATTGTAGTCCATGTATGTTGATATACTTATTCCATTATCATTCTATATTTATCCATTTGTGTGATGTAAATTAAATGCTGAATGGCTGTTCATGTAACATATCAATATTCGCATATTCATTCAAAAACATGAAAATTCTTAATGGAGTACCCTCATTTCTTATTGAATTCCTAAAAAACAATATTTATAATGAATTTTAATAATTTTTTTGGATTTTTTTTAAGCTTTATTCTGACCGATTCACCCGATTCCCGATCCGAATCGTCAATTCGCCGATCCGGATCGGTTTTTTGGGTGCCCGATCGGGGTCACCGATCCGTTTTTTAAACCTGGGTTGAACCGCTTCCAAACACATGTCCCGTTAATTGCTCGGTTTGATTTTTCCCCAACTGATTACACTTCAGTTGGTGAAATTTATATAGATTTCCCAAGTTTATGTGGCTATTTAATTTGGAAAAGGGCGAAGTTTATTTCAGTGATGCAGTTAATAGTTTGTGAACAAAATGGTAAGCCTGTATTCGACTTGGTAGACTAAAACCTATTTATGTAGTAGATAACCGTTTTAAATGGTACGAAACAAGATTGAATCCTCAAGATGCCTTAATTTTGTTTGGCAAGTGCACTAACTGGTACCAACCACAGGATTGAAGCCACTAACATGCCCTAGTTTTGTTTGGCTGCACTAAATAGTACCAACCGGAGTTTTGGGATACCCATTGCCTAGCGTTAGGCAGCTGCCTAGCCAGTGCCCAGCACCCACCTCGCCAAGCGCTAGCCTTGGGCGGCCGCTCAAGGCATGTGCCCCACTCTAAGCGGCCCTCATAACCTGCACCTTGTCTTAAGCGGCCGCCCAGGTAGCTATTGATATTTATCTTGAATTTTTGAATCATTAATTTTAAGGGATTAGTTTCCTCTAATTTAGGTTTTTCTATTTATTTGGGTAGAGCATATTATTTAGGATGTAAGTTTATGAATAATTACTAAGATTAGGATTGAGCCTAAAGTCGATAAAATTCCTTGTTGATAAAGTTAGACAAATTGAGATTGGTTTGAACGCATATATCTTTGGGGCTTTATTCTCTCTTTTAAAGATGCTTTTTTAGAGAGAGAAATTATGTGTGGAAAAGTAGGCTATACATAGGTGCACTTTTGGTTTGTTCTCTCTTGTAGAGAGAGAAAGTGTATAGAGAAAAAATAGAGGGAATCTTTGGATTTGTTTTCACACAGAGAGAAAATTGTAGAGAAGAAGTCTTTTTGAGAGATTGAGTTTCTGGTTCTCTCAAGTAAGTTGTCTTGTAATTTTGTTTTTTTGATGTAGTGAAAAACATCGATCTTCTTCGCCTGTGAATGTAGTCACATCTGTCAGAACCACGTAAATCCTGGTGTTTTTTTTTTCTTTCTGTTATTTATTTTTTGCTTTAAATTTGTTGCTTGGTGCTTGTTTTTGTCGATTATTTTTCTTGTACTTTATTTGCCAAAAATCAACCAATCGGCTTTAGAGCTTCCACACACAGCAAGTGGTATCAGAGCCCGATTTGGGGTTGTTGGTATGGCGGTAAAAGTTTCAAATGCAAAATTCGAAGTTGAGAAATTTGATGGAAAATTTTTTTTTCGAATATTGCAAATCAATGTTCGGAATTTGCTAGTGCAACAAGTTTTACATATGAAAGGAAAGTTGAAGAAACCAGAATCCATGTCTGATGAGGATTGGGAAGACTTAGATTTGACGGCTATGAGCATTATTCGATTTTGTTTATTGAATAAAGTGTTATTTAATATCGTCAATGAAGATTTAACATCAAGTCTTTCGCCGAAGTTTGAGAGTTTGTATAGGACGAAGTCCCTCACAAATGTACTATTTTTTAAGCAAAAATTGTACTCCCTACGGATAAATGAAGGTACAGATATCTATGAACACCTTAATTATTTTAATAAAATTATTTACGAATTGTTGAATATTGGTGTTAAGATAGATGATGAAGATAATGCTATAAATTTGTTATCCACACTCATTCATTCGTATGAGAATCTAGTCACAACATTGCTCTATGGAAAAGATACCATATAGATGGAGGATGTGACTTCGACTCTTCTCTCTAATTATTTGAGAAAGAGACATGATAATGCCAAGCCACATGCAGATGATTTAATGACTAGAAGGAGATTTGTTGAGAGAAGTAGAAAGAGACATGAAAAACAAGGCTGGTCTAGATCCAAATCCAGATCAATAAAAAGAAATATTTATTGTAATTATTGCACAATTATTGTAAGAAAAAAAGGCATATTAAGAATGATTGTTGGACACTCAAAGAGAAGTAAAGACGAGCTTCTGAAGCAATAAATATAGTTGATGGAAGCTCGGTAAGTGAAACAGATAATGTGTTGTCAGTCTTGACAAATTGTGACAACTCTAAAGCCTAGTAGGTTCTTGATTCTGGATGCTTCTATCACATGTGACCTTATAAGAGCATTGATGGTGGATCGGTTTTGATTGAGAATGATGCAGCTTGCAAGACTATTGGTGTTGAGACAATTACTATCAAGATTTATGATGGAGTTGTCGAAACCTTGACTGATATGAGACATGTTCCAGATTTGAAGAAAAAACTTATTTATCTGGGTACCTTAGATTCCAATGGTTGCAAATTTGTTGGAGAAGGTGGAGTTCTAAATATTCTTAAGGGTGCTTTAGTTGTGATGAAAGCCAAGAAGATCAGACCAAATTTATATGTGTCGCTTGGGAATACTATAACAGATAGAGCATCAATTTATGTATCTGATGATGGTCATTCGAACTTGACTCAGTTGTGGCATATGCGATTGAGCCACGAGTGAGAGAGGTTTGACGGAACTTAGCAAATGCAAATTGATCAATGGTTTGAAGAAATGCAAGTTGGACTTTTGTGAGCACTGTGTTTATGGTAAGCAGTGTAGGGTACAGTTTCACATGTCAGAACATACCACAAAAAGTATTCTTGACGATATCCATTCAGATGTTTGGGGCCCTGCATCGGTTATCTACAAAGGCGGATCTCTATACTTTGTTTCTTTCATAGATGATTTGTCTAAGAAGGTATGGATTTACACATTGAAGAAAACGACAAATGTATTTAATATATTTAAGCATTGGAAAGTAATGATCAAAAGACAGACCAGAAAAGGTTAAGTGCTTGAGGATTGACAATGGTGGAGAGTGCACTTTAGCGGAGTTTATGAATTTTTGCAAGAGCAAATGAATTGTTTGTCACTTCACCACTTCGCTTGAGTATTTGTGAAACTTTGTGAAAATCTCTATAGAATATTTTTGGAAAGCAGTCTAAATGATTACGTTTATGTCTTATACAAAATAATTTATCTACATAAGAATGGTTGAACCACTAAAATGTCTTCGCTTGAAAGCACAAGCTTTTCCAAGGGAGCAATAAAGAAATGCAAGGGCTGCAACACCCCAAACATATATGCTAGCTTCCTCAATATCTTCAAAGAATTCCAATAATCTTGTTGGCTCTGTTGAAACTGACGGATCAACAAAAAAGGTGATGCTGATGAGGAAGAGCAGATATGCTCGAGTATATCTAACAACTTCAACACGAGTTGGGTCAGGTGGAAATTCTCTAAAATTGGCCTTCAATCATGAATGCTTTAGGACTGTCAGGTTGTCTTCAAGGATTATACCCAAATTGTCTTCTATATACTCTTGCAGGTCACAAATAGGACGGCATGTAACAGGCTCGCCATCCACAACCAGTCATAATATCTCATACAAATGAAATAGAGTTGGTGTCATCTCACCAATTTGAATGTTATAATGGAATGTATTGGTATCATAACTCCATCTCTCTGCATTGGCTGAGACCAAAGGATGATTAATTCGGCCTGGCTGAATAATAGATAGTGCATCCAACCCAGACGCGTTCACTAATTGAACTTGCTCGTCTGTTAGATGCCAATCGTTCAATTGGAAAGTCTTTTCATCAATTCTAATTTCTTATTTCTCCTGGAGTAAAACAAATAGACAACATATGATTTCCAATATATATACATTTACTTCTCATATGATGTTTAAACCAGATTACAATTTATTGAAAAATAATAAACTAATAGAAATGGTAGATAAATATATGCATATACATGTCCTTCTCATATGAAATATGATGCACGTTCTGGGTGAAGCTGCAACAAACTAAGGTCATTAAGACCTCTTGGGTATCCCCCATCAAGATGTACGCGATTCATATTCACTGAAACCCCATAGGTCACCATGTTAATCATAAGATTACATATGCAAAACTTAACTGAATAACAAATAAATATGAATACGTTCTAATACAAGCACTACTTGCCATCTCAACTTATAGGTTCTAATACCAATACGACTATATGAAAAGAACATGATCATTCTAAGGAATGAATATCGAGACACCAATAACTCATCATGCATTTGTATATAGAATTAATAAAACAATGCGAAGTCACAAATTTAACCTCCAAATAGGTGATCACAAATTTACATATCGAATGACCTCTTAAATAAATCTACTCACGAATTATTCTATCCAAAATATTGAAGCATGTATGCATAAAGTTATTTATTAACTATGTACTCCTAAAACCACAAGCATTTGCAAAATGTTCAAGGTAAATCTGTTCTTCAATAATAAATCTAGTACAAAATTTTATCTATAAGCTACTCAAACTATCAACAAGATAAATAAACTCTTCCCTAAGATATCACTACATCTATCACAAATTTGCACTTAAAACTATCTAAGAGTATCAAAGTTAATACACAATACATTATAATGTACAATCTGCTTAACATTCAAAAGAAAACAACACAAACAAAGCATTCAAAACAAAGCATTCAATCACAGTTCTGTGATTTTCTCATGGTCACTAAAAAACAGTAATCAAGTCAATACAGCCTCTTGTAAAAATTTCGAGTTCTGATAAAACCCCCAATTTTGTAGTTCTCAATAACCCCAAATTTTTAAATTTTTGAACAATAAATACAAAACAAACATAACTTAATAACTCATATATTAAATTCAAGTTCTGAAAAAACCCCAAATTTTATAGTTCTTAAAAACCCCAAAAATTTACACTTATGAAAAACCGCAAATATCACTCAAATAAATTGTGACTTATGGAACTGTGAAATCCTTCAAATAAATACTAAATCGACCTCTTCGACTCAAGTATGACACCCTAAATCGGAATGTTATACAATATTAACTTCTAAAAATAAAACAATAAATCAATTTATACATACATTCACTACAAATTTCAAATCCATCAAATGCACTCAAGATCTGTCAAATGTAGTTATAATCCGTCAAAAAATTTAATCCAAATCTAAAAAGCAGGTAAGCTATGTAAGAAATGTAAGAGAGAGTGTTATAAAAATTCACAGAGAAGATGATGGACCGGTGGAGGCATTAGAAATTGAACCTTGGAGTTTAAACGAGCCAAGCCAACTTTTGGTTGTTCAATAACCGAAAATGGTCTAATTTCGGTTGTTCAACAATAGAAAACGACTAATTTTGATTTTTGAACAACCGAAAACCCTAAGTGGAAGCTCAAGCATACACCACTAGGTGTAATAACGCAAACCCATTTTTGGTTATTGAACAAACGAAAAAATCCCTTGAATTCGGTTGTTCAACAACCGAAAAAGGGTAAACTGATCGTTTTGAAAAAAAAATTGTTATGACATGAAAAAAATGGACAGGCATGTAATAACGGAAACTATTCGATAGTTCCATAATAACGCAAAGTATAATGGATATATGTGTAATTTCCCCCTTTTTTGTTTTTTTGTTCTTTTCTTTGCTTTAAAAGAATTCAACAAAAGTGCCAATTGGGACCCTCGATGTAGTTGCATGTTTAGGAAGTAAAATGGAAATAGTATCGTGACCCCACAAAGATTTGCTTTTTGGAAGTAACCTAAATAGAGCATGATTGACAGGGGTGGCAACGGGGTTGGGTTGGGTCGGTCTAGTAAGACCAGGGCCCGGATCCCAACTCGTATAGTGTTCAGGTTCAAGATTTAGACTCGGACCATATCTGTTGGGTCCAATTTTTGGACCCAAATCTGGTCTAACCCTCAGATCTCGGGTCGGGACCGGGTCCATTGCCACCTCTAATGATTGAGTAAGATTGTTTTTCTTATCCATATGCTTGACCATGATTGGGCCTGTTAACGGGCTTGGTCTGGCCCACAGATTATGAGCTGAGCCAGTCTAGGGTCACGTAAGGCCTACAAACTACCCTGGGGCTGATCATTGGGATTTTTAGCGAGGCCTAGCTTATGGGCGGATTCTAGCCACATGTTGAAGCGGGCAGATTGGTCTCATGCTAGGCCCGGTATGCCCAAAATATGTGGGGCTTTGGTTGATCTACCATTGGCCCCAGCAGGCCCATCCAAAACGTTTTTAAGTATGTATAACATATGGGTGAAGTTGGCATACAGATGCATCCGTAGGTGTAGAGGTAAGGTGCACCTTCAAATTTTATCATGGTACATAATTTTGATGTAAAATGTTCTTAGGATTATCTCAAAATCTATTTTTATATTTAATTATAAAATTTTAAATTTTAAAAATGGTTAAAATAAAGTAGATATATAAACATATGAAATATTGAAAATGGATGGTGTAGATAATATGTTGTAAAATGCACTATTTTTTAGACTTAAAATCTTTTTATTTTTCATATTGATATATCTCAATATCGTGATGATCAATCAAACGGGTTTTTAAGTTAAAACTACCTTTTTTCAATGGATCTTTGAGGGGCATATGTAGTTCTACATTATAAGGTTGCATCCTTATATAAACTTTTTCTATATCGGATATTAGATATTTTTTGTTTGATAGTTAAATAGGGCCAGCCCATTCACTTTGGGCTGCCCTCGGACTTCGTTCTCGTGAACTTGGGCTGGGCGGGGTATGCTGGACCAGAGCGGGCCTAAAATTAAATTTTTGGGCCCAATCGTACCCTACACGTTTGGGCATGGACAAAGGTTTGTCATAACCAAAAATATAATATCTAAGCTCAAAATAGGACATTTTGGTAATTAGACCCATAGGTTGAGTCAAAAGTTGTACATCTGTAGCTTGTTTTGAGTTCCAAATACAAAACATGATTTCTAAAAAATATATATATTTCCCAATAGACCCAAACAAGCAAGGATAATTAAGTCAATTTGCTCGAGCAAATTAAATTGATAAATTATCAACCTTATTTGTTTAGGGTTCTTTACCTAGAACATGGGCAATTTGAGTTTGTTTAAAAAACAAATTACTTTAGGAGGTACCCAAGCGAAATAGATCTTAAAACATTACCACTCGTTGTTTTTTTTTAAAAAAAAATTAATGTCTTAAACTTACCTATTTGTTGCCTGATTTAATCACCTCGATGATTTTTTTATGTTGTTTCGTCTTTTTATTGATTCGAAAGCTTAGCTTACGATCTAAACCAGTGGTTTAAAAAACGAGTCGGTGCCCTGGATCGGGCACCCCAAAAACCCATATGAATCTGTAAATCGGAGATCTGGATTGAGAATCAGCCGAATCGGTTGGATTAAGCTTCAAAAAAATCCAAAAAAATATTTATTAAAATTTATTATAAATGTTGTTTTTTGGGAATCCAATAAAAAGTGAGGGTAATACATTATTATCTTTCATTTTTTTCATCAATATGCGAATATTGATACGTGCTTTCCCTCTATGAACTTATGTTAACTGTTAAATTTACATTTCACAAAAGAAAAATCATAAAATTGTCGTGGATGAAATATATAATCATACATGGACTACAATAAAGAATGGATTTAATCGATGAAAAATGGCCACTAAAATATTGAATTGGCGGAAAACCCTAATGCACTAAAACCCTAATACTTGTTGTATTATCTTTTAGTTTTTCTTTTTATTTTTGACAAGAAATACTTGTTATATTACCTTTTTCTTTTTTGACAAGAAATATTTATTTTTATTTTTTACAAGAAATACTTATTGTATTACCTTTTTTTTTCCTTTGAGTATAATCGTTTATTTTGTTGATAAAAAA